TATGATATACAGGTTTGGGCGACGAAAACGATGGGTGCGATGAGAACAGCACTTGTGTTAGCAATCATTGTCTGAACGGGAGATGCGTTTGCAATGGAGAGAAACCCGTTTACCAGAGCCTCAAATGTCATACCGGTTAGTCTGACGGCCCGTACCGTATATACGGGGCCGACAAACAAATGCACACATAAAACAATACTAACAAACAAATTATTTTGCATAACAATACTAATGGTATCGGAAAAACACAAATGCTTACATTTTGATAGCCCAACCCATTGGCGGCAAATGTTTGCATTCATCGCAGTGTCAATGGATGGCCGGTGCGAACGCTCACTGCAATTACAAGGGAAAGTGCCGGTGCGGCAAAAACGGCGTTCCCATGCATATACCCATTTACGGCAAATATTGCATCGAACCGAGTATTTATCATATTTTTAATTTTTGTTTTGTGTTTTAATATATGCTTGTGTTTAATGTTTGAGAAGTTGCTATTATTTGCATTTAATTTATGTCTTAATATGTTTGCCTAAAATCAATAGAAACTAAACTTTTGGTTAATTTATGAGCCGTTGAAAATCAATTATGCTTTTTGTTGTGTAGTTTTTGATATGTGTTAATGTTTTTTCCCTAATATTTATTACTGCCTATGATTTGTGTGGTTTTGTTTTGTGTGTAGTTATGAAATCGCATTCAAAATTTAAATGACATTTTATGTCGCCTTCAGTTCGTATTGAATGCCAGAACTAATCAACTATTTTCTGCTTTAACTCAAAAACATTTAGTTTCAGATTTTTTTTCAACTCAATTCAGTTTATGTGGAAATGTTTAGCTTAAATATATTTTAAAAATTATTTACACTATAATCACGAGTCAAATAATGAAAGCCATTGATTATTTACGAAAGTTTTTTATGCTGTAAAATAAATAACACATTGAATTAAATTAATTTTGTATTGTACAATTTTATATTTCCACTGCACTTAAGATTTTATTAATTATTTCATTAATATTCAGTGAATATGTAATATTTACAACTTATTTAGTTGTTTATTATAAATATTTTATTATCATATTTATAATTCACTCATAAATCTCTGACAACAGCTTTTATATTACTATATTTTTGGATAAACAGTGTTTGCAATGAAATGCAATGTACAGTAAATTTAGAAATAGTTGGGCCATTGGTTTAATAGATTTCAATGACTTTATTTATAAAATATATCATTTATAAACAATAGGCTCGAGTTATAAATGCATTAGGTAAAAGCTTTAGGTATAAACATAGTGTATTTTGCACTTAATTTATAGCCAGATTCTCTTAAACTATTGTTTTTGCCAAAATACTTGTTAAATATTGTCACAAAAACAAACTTAATGCATTTTTTTTGCTATTATTAATAATCAAATTTCTCATTTCAAGTGCTGTACAATCGGTACAGCACTCACTCACTAACACTGATTGCAATTAAACACAATTTTTAGGGGTATTTAATGTTTGCAAAAATATTTACAGAGGTTTTCAACGATAGCTGTATTTATTCAGACGAATGTCAATTGATTGGCACTAATCGGTACTGTAATGAGCACTTCAAGTGTCACTGCATTCCCGGCTATCACTACCAGATGGGCGTCGGATGTATAGCCGGTTCGCACAGCGCCGGACCCCCACTACACATCACATCCCATGTATGGCTATGGCTATCGCTGGCCCTCGTCTTTGTCACCACGACTTTATGACCAACTCATTTAAATTGATATATAATTATATATAATGTTATATAAATATAATGTATAAATACTTATATATAATATTTCGGGACAAATGAATTATTCAAATCATATCACAAACGCTTATTTTGTTAAGTTTTCTCTCTCTCTCTCTCTCTCTCTCTCCACTATTTCTTTTTCTCTTCAAGTTATTAGTTATGGATTTTGTTGTGTATTTGAAATAGAAATAAATGTATTTTATGATTATTTCAATGTTTTATATCAATATTTATACACATGTTATGCAAATTGGATTAGATTTTGATATTAAACTTTTTATTTGCGATAAACTATACAAAAAACAAAACAAAAAAGTTATAATGAAATATTTGAATTTCAAACAATTTTTAAACAAAAATATTAATTACATTTAAAGTGTAATCAAAACAATATGTATATATATTCACTTAATTACATATAGTAAAATAGCGTTAAAGCCATAAAATATGGTAGAAATCATAAATATCAGTCAAATAGATAATGAATTGTGACAAAAATTTTAAAATGATAAAAATACAGCCAAAAAAGTAAGTAAAATACTGTATAATTGTATCAAATGTTTGCTTTACAAACATTTCATACGCTCACAATATACTACACGCAGACTTGTGTGGATCAAGTTTGTGTGACTTCTTGGACGATCTGATGGCAGCCTCGATGGCCATATCAAACACTTGTATAATACCCTCGTTGTGTCGCGAAGAGCACTCGCAATAGCCATAAGCGCCCATATCTTCGGCGGCGTTACAGCCGTCGATAAAACTGA